CACATCCATTTTAAAATAATACATCCTGTTTTACTAAATTTAATTACCACTGACAACAGTTCAAATTGATCAGTGTAATTCTTTGACTATAAAAATAATTTAAGAGACCACAATGGTCCAGCAAGTTATAGTTTTGTTTGGCCCAAGAAACACTTTTGCAGTTACGTAAAATAATATTAGATGATATAGTAAAAATGACTATATTGTAGTGATTAATGCAATATGTTCTGGCTCTGTATCCCGTGTTAAATCCTCCATTTCCTATGTCATATTATCATAATAATGCTTATTATTTTCAGAAAATAATAACCTTACATAAAAAGAAATAAAAATTAGATAATTAGCAATAAAATGAACCACAATAAAAATAAATGTCAGGGTGCATGGTAATGCACTGGCCATTAAAGGGCTCAAAAGAAAACAGATAGAGTGCTTTTGTCAGGATCGGCTTACCTAACCTACCACACATCTTATGTTATGGTTATTAAGCTGTGACCAAGACATTAATTAGATATCCAATAAAATTTGCATAGTATCATTTGACAAATTTTTTCTGGTTAAGTGATTTTTGTACTTTCACTCAAACTGAATTTATAATGAAGTTGTTGATCATGAATGAGCTAATTTTGAAAAAAATTGCAAGAGATTTGGTTCAAAGCAAAGCTATGAAAATATGACAGATATGTACAGCTTTAAATTCTTTTGATTCTACAAACAAATGCTATGGCTGCATTTGACAAAGACATTAAACCAATGACATGAGCTCCTCGAAAGTGAAACCCAAAAGGAGCTTTCTAAGAATGCTTAGATCAGGCCTCTCCTACTTTCCAAGAATTAGTAGAATAAACTAATTGGTATGCTGATCTAAACATTGACTTTAAGGTCTAGATTAGCATACCAATTAGTTTATTCAACTAATTCTTGGAAAGTAGGGGGGGCATGATCTAAGCATTCTTAGAAAGCTCCTGTTTGTAGGGTAGGGTAGTCCTGGCCGGGGTTTAGGCTTCCAAATTTTGGAGCTGTCTTTGCTAGAATTTTGCATTTAAAATTATACTATAATTATTATTTAGCAGGCTGCTGACATGGTAAAACTTTTCTGTGCATTTTTTTTTGGTGTCACAAAAACCATGTTCCAGATAAGAAGGCTAAAACATATGACAAACCCCTTCTCCCCCCACCACCCTCCTAAGCAGTTCACCCCACCCACTTTCCAAGAAGTCCGAGGGACACCGATATGGAAATTTCGATCACACTTTCAAAAAATTAAAATAGTTTACCGAATTCCGAATAGACAAGAATGACACTGCTAAAACATTACATCTGTTTAATCTATCTGCTGTCCTTTGTCCTTTGATGACTGGGAAAATTAGAGATAAAAATACTATTCCGGTGGCCCAAAAGCTCCCGTTAGTGAAACTCAAATAGCGTACATGTATCGCCAAGCAACTTCTAGTACGTTCCCAGTATCGACAGGTCCGTTAGCATGAAGAAAAAATGTGCAGGATCATGGATGTTACACATAGTACAGAGTACCGGTACTGGCACTACACGCCAACCATGTCATCCAAAACCACTGTGCATCATAAATTAATGGCACAAAAAATACATTTAACACTACACTAATATCTTACCTTTCCCTTAATGTCCCTCCAGCAAAGTCTTACAAAAAGTGGTTTACTTTAACCCATAGTTTCCAATTGTTACCAGATAGAAACCATGGAACACTAACCAGAAACAAGTTCGACACAAACTAATTTCTAGGAAACTCGTATGACTTTCGCACTAAAAAAAACTTTCCACGCACAAACTAATTTCCAAGAATCCAAGAAACGACTTCGTCGCACTCGATTCCCAGAAATTCACATGGCATACCTTTTATGGCACAACATGAGAAAGGTAATATATTACTTGACACATAACCTATTCAGAAATCATAACGCCACGGTTCGTGTGAAAAAAGCCGAAATTATTCGGTACTTTTGGCCTCTTCTGGACGTCGTAAGCATTCAGTTCCTAACTTACCTTAGTGTAAAGGATTACAACAAAAGCCTCTTTCATTCAGCTCTTCATTCATCGCCCGGATCGTTTCCTAATCGACACTGAGCGTTTAACGGAGGATTATTTAAAGCTTATACCGGTGGGTGGAAGACCTTTAAAATCCTTCGTACAGGTACATGTCAGTTCATGCAGTATGATATTTGCCCTTGCAAGCTCGAAGGTATTTTAAATGCGTGTTGAGTGAATTGGGTCCGTGATCGTCGTCGGTAGAGATAAGAAGATGGCAGCTAGCTTCTTCACGCAAGGGCGACAACTACAGGAACTTCGACCGTAGCAGAATTGACTCTGAAGAGCTAAAAATATCACTGTTCACCAAAATGTTTACATCAAATGGTTTCAGGTAAATCCAAACAATCCTGGGGATTGAACCGTCAGCTGAACTGTTCTATCAGGCTGGTGGCCGAACAATGCATCCAAACACTGGCACAAATACGTCCGAAGATCAGAAATTCGAGCTGCTCGAGTTGCGCGGGCGCCTTTAAAAATTCGCACCCCTCTGTCTCGTCCTTCAGTTTTCATTTCTCGATGCCTGAGATAAGAACGGCAAAATTTGGTCGACTTTACTCAGTAGTGTAAAAGAGTTATAGTTTATAGGAGAATTAACAAAATAGCAGAAGGACTCAGATTTGGAATGAACACACTGCTTTTTAAGGCGGGAAATGATTATCGTGTGTTCACCTGTAAAGGGCCTTTTTTTGCCAAAGATAAAACTCAGACTTCGCATTTTTATGTAAACTTGACGTTTACGGTTTAGTATGCTCGTCAACATACATTGTCAAAAGTGTTCTAAAGTGACCCTTACAGATTATGACGAGACTATTTATACAAAAGTTTAATACAAGAGAATGAGATTTTTGATTATTAAACAATGTTTCTTTTACCTTGCAACGATAATCTGATTTGCCAGACCATAAAATATCAAAATGATGCCATTTAATGTTATGTCCGGTGGCACTGACATGGTCAGCTATTGCTTACAGTAGTCATGTTTAGTTAGGGCCTTAAAGTGTTCAGTCTTCCTACATGTTCCTGTCATGGAGTCGTTGCTTAGTTTTGCCAATATAAAAATCATTGCAGTCCCAGCAACTAGCTTTGAACTACTAGTGTTTTGAAAAATTAACTTCAAATTAGCACTAGTGTAAAGCTGGTAAAATATAGTCGAACCTTTTCACAACCATGACGAGGTCCACCTTGGGGACAGACCAGAGAGGTGGCCTTTATGGGGACGTAGGAGTGTAATATGATAATTTTTCTAGGCAGTACGACATGTTTATTGTGCTAAGTTCATGCTTACCAGTATTTTCTACAAGTATCGTGGACAATTTATGCTTACTGCAGCAGTATAAATGAAGAAGAATCACAGGGCACGCGCAGCAAGTTTGCAACTGGGGGCCTGGGAGGGGGGCTCACTTCGAATGCGTGAGGGTGAGTCAATTAGAGGGGTCCGGAGTCCTCCGAAATGTCCTGGAAATGGCTGGAAATGCATTTAAAACTAACAGGGTGTGGTAAAACTTCTATACTTTCAGCAACGAAAAAGCGGTGTTTTAAAACAAGAATTTAATTACCTTTTTGCCAACAGCAGCAGCTTGTGCAGTCGCGCCTTCTTTAGATAGATATTCGCTTACCGCCCTTTATCAATCTTTTTGTTTATTTTACCAATTCCTGATGGGCGGCTTCGTGACGAAGCCAAGATAGCGAGACACTAGGTATTTTGAGAGCGGACCACTGGGGCCACTCATGGGTACTAGTGCGCTTGACTAATTTACAAACCCGATTGTAAACGATTTGTAAAAACGGCCCAGGGCAGTACTTTCGAGTTGGGGGCTTCGCGCTGGATTTTAGAATACTAGAAGACCTAGAACGTTGGCCACAGTTGAAGGAAGAGTATTCACGGGAAAGAAAGAACAAGTTTGGACTTGATGATTCTTGCTACTGATTCATGGCTGAACAAATGGCGACATTTTTTCTGCACTTGTGAAAAATCTTACCCTGACATTTTTTACTTCACCCACGAACTGCCGCCATCATCGACGCGCGAAAGTTCGATTCTCACATTGCTGAACTTCGCTGTGGGTACCAGCGGACCCTATTTTTGTCGCGCGTTTTTCATCGAATCGTCGGTTTTTCAACGAAATCGTCCCATGACATATCAAGAAGTGTTTTGCTTGGTAACAGTACTAGCGGCTCGAGCAGGCACTGGACGATGACGACGACGACACTAAAAAAAGCAACAGGTTTTACAGTAAGAAAGCAAAAAGTCTGAACGTACAGCACACTTTCTGGCAAATTTCTTTTCCGTGATCCACAAACGTTGCACTTGTCAAACTTGATCGGAATGGCAATGCGATCAATCCTTTAAGATCGTCATCTCGACTTCGATTTTGTCAGAAATACCCCCAGAAAGACTCATTGCTGTTATTGGGCTTTTGTTCTGGCCCGCATGCAAAGTGGGTTTTACATAGCCTCCCACGCAGACATTCTTAGGGATCCGTCACGCTTTCTGTGGGGCAGGAACGCGTGACGAACCGCTAAGAACGTCTGCGTGAGAGGCTAGGTTTTACAAGTCGTAAATGATGGAGTTTCCCTCAGTATCATAACCTAGCTATATATATGGTCCAGGAAAATCGACGTTTATGGCTCAGAATCTGTTTGGGACTTGGATTTGTTTTAGTCTTCGACCCATGCTCAGGCACACCATGTCCAATAATACACCTTTCCCTAATTTGTTCACTAAGCTTAGCATTCACCAGTTTTATAAACCTAGTCAGTGGTTAGGGCGCCGCCCATCCGGCATATGATATGTTATGGGCTCTAATGTCATCAGTTGTTTTTCCCGCATTCTACGCTTATAACGTGACGATTATTTGACCTTTCTTACCATTCTGATTGTTTGCAATCACGAATTAAGCTGCATTTTTCTTTAGGGTCTACGGCTTGTAAACATGTACTGTGACTTGTGCCAAACCAGAAAGCTTCGCAGAGAGTTCCCTGCCAATACCATCACGGATAAATGTCAACATGCGCCTCTGCATTGCTTCAGGGTGAGTACGTACATGCTGCAATTCCAGTTACTATTAATACATCACAGACGTTTGTCACCGTTTAGTGATTTCAGTCTACACCACTGATTCGTTGTGTCAGTTGCGTCTTGGCCTTGTCGCCTTGTTAATCAATCAAGCACGCAAGCAAGCACAAGCAACTCAAACGATCAAAAAAGACGGTTTTATGAAGAACTATATGAATTTTATCCGAAATTTCATTATGTAAGAAATCATGGATTGAAATGAAGAAAACATCTGAGAAACCTGTACGATAACACGATAACACGATAATGGCCATGCTGTGGATTATTTTTATCTTTGGTTTAAATTTTGTTTTCCTTTGTTTTAAACTCATAATCGTACATTACTACTACCATACTCGAAATCAAAAGCCTGAGAGCAATGAAATTTAAACTAAATCAATTGCTGTTTCCTTTTGTTTTTTTTTTGTTGTTGTTGTGAAGTGATTTGATAGTAAGAACATCAAAGAACAGCTTATTCTTATATTTTCGTTTCAGTGTTTAACAAGGCACGTCCAGGAGTTTCGTAAGTGTTCTCAGTGTCCTCAAGCCGTAAAAGTCGACAACTCACGTTATCTTGAATGCTTGGCCACGCTCGAGAATCTGTTTCCAAGACTCGAAGTGTCTTCTGCTCCTGGAGATGCCGACTGGTCATCCGCGGAGGGCAACAAGACGATATCTGTTGTAATGTTGGGTGGGGACAGTACTGTGGTAGAGTACCAGCCAAATATGTCCATTCTAGCGCTGAAAGCCTTCATAAAAAGCAGGCTTGGTCCAGAACCTGACAAACAACGACTGCTGTATGAGGAAGAAGAGCTCAAGGTAGAACCAATTCGAGAAGTATATAACCTGCAGCTCTAATGAAACGTTAAAATTTCGCTCTTCTTTTTTGCTCTTAGATATGGTTATTTAACGATAAATATTTTGAACATTCATAAGTATAGAAAAAAAATGCGACTAAATAGCATTTGTGACTATCGATAGTAATAATATTATAAATAAGCTCTACTACACAACGTAAATTCTTTCGTAAACTTTGAACGCAACTTTGGTTCGCGACTTGTGATCCTTTACGGATTACAACATGTTTCACATCTTGTTATCATGTAAAATTATTAATGTGAGTTATAGGAGACGTTCAAAACCTTTTGACAAAGTTACGTGATCAGTTGCGCCAAGAAACGCCAAGAAAGCAATCTGTGAGTTCTTTGACTCTGAAACCGCACAGGTTGTCGAAACGTCAGTCACTGTCAACAACAACAGTCCTATTCAGGGCTACGTTCACCCGGACGATCAAACTCAACCTACTTTTGAAATGACTCCTGGGTTCAAACCTTTCACACTCTTTACAAACCAATCTGTATAGTACTGTTAAGCTGTACTCTCTGGAGTATTCAATGCGCCTTCTCATGAAATGAAAATTAAGTACTAAAACCGCCAAAATAACCTTCTGAAACTTATCAACATCTCGGTAAAACTGCTAGTTCGTCTTACGATTTTAGTTTTTCGAAGTTGAATCGTGAATTCGTGTTGTTTAGTGTTCCCTGGGCAGTGTACGTCTTATCACCTCGTTCTCAACTACTTTGCAATTGATTCAGTTGTTTCTTTTTTGTAATGGTTGTTCTTTTTCTTTGTCCTTTAGACTCATTCAAGCTCCGGTACATTAGCTACTTTACAAGATTACGGTGTCCAGCCATTTAGTACATTGTATCTAATCGTGGTGTTGTATGAGATTTCCGAGGCTCTTGATCACGTGATTTTCGACTTGTTTTGGGGTTATCCTGCCAGCGGGTGTGACTTCTTGGACGCGTCTGTACTTATTTACAGTGGCAGCTCGTTTCAAACGCTAGTCGATTTTAGTCATCGTGGTTTTAGCGGTGTTACTCACTCCGGTGATGTAATGGACGACACCAAGCGTCTTGGTCATCATACCATAAATGTGAAGCTGAAAAGCTTGCCTTCTTCTGTTGACAAGCTGTTCTTCACGCTGAGTGCATATGGCTCACCAAACATCTCCAAATTTAAAAATCCCAGCTTGCGCTTCTTTGACGCCAAGGAACCCGACAAGCAGCTCTGCAGCGATCGGATGGACCACGCAGCTTATTCCCAGGCCATTATCATGTGCAGTCTGTGTAAGATCAACCACAGATGGAAAGTGTTTAGTTTACGCACACGGTCCGCAGGAAATGCAAAGAATTATTCCCCATTGCAACAAACAATTGGTGGGATCATTGCCCAAGGATTGTGTTAGAAATCAGATTTTTATGACACTGAAGATACCTTGTAACAGCTCTTCATTAGAAAAAAAAGACTTCAATAATCTTTCTTTTTACAGCAGTGCGTCTTATACTAACTCGGATCGTACATGTAAGATTGTTTATAGCTTATTCTCATCGTATAAAAGTGGTTCTCGGGTTTTCAGTCCTCCATGTGATGTTGATTAACTGATTCTCAAAAGGTCAGGGAACAAACACTTCTCGTCGAAAAAGTGCCTTGCTGCCTAATTTTTGAAGTTATCGATGTGGCGCTTACATGAAGCTTGTGAATTACGGTAGAACCATAGCGTAGGAGGAATAAAGATGTGCTAAAAAGGTTTGAAGGTGTATATATCCCTTTCCAGACCCAAGGTCCCCGAGTAAATTACGTGACAGCAAAATCAATAATCATCAGCATCAACACTGGAAAAATTAATAATAATGATGATAATAATAATAATAATAATAATAATAATAATAATAATAATAATAATAATAATGATGATGATGATAATGATGATGATGATGATGATGATGGTGATGATGAAGATAAACGAGAGAGGGCGGTTACTCTTTCGAGTGAAATGGAAGCTTTAAAAACAGAAGACGCTTACGAAATTGACGACACGTGCGCATGTCTAAAGGTCGGTACACACTAGGCGACAAGTTGCAGGACCATGTCGCGGCGACACGTCGCAGCGACAAATTGCTTCGTGTACTGGAGAAATTTTGAAAAAATCTTTGTTTTTACAACAGAATTTTGTCAGAGCAACGTGTCGCAAAAAAAATCAAATCAGACAGAATTTGTGCGACTTGCTGCGGCGACAAAAATTCTGTTGCAGATGCAAAGATTTTCACAAAAATTCTCGAGTACACACGAAGCGATTTGTCACTCCGATGTATCGCCGCAACGTGTTGCTGCAACTAGTCGCCCGATCTGTGCACACGGAGTGATTTGTCTTCGCGACTTGTCGCCTAGTGTGTTCCGAACTTAAACACCGAATTGACCAATCGCAGAGCGGCAAATTAAGTGCCTGGAGTCACGCTCAGTCCTCTTCACCCAATGTTGCATTCTCATTTGAAGTCGCTTTGTCTCATACCTTATATGGCTAATATGTAAATTTGCAACTGGAGCTTCCTTACAGGATTCCGTGTTGTAAATAAGAAATTCGGGCGTGACAGCCAAGCATTTTAAACTCTGGAACGCTGGCGTCGGGATTCAAACGCTTCTTTTAACTTTTAATCTACCTTTTTTTGAAGAATTTTAGGTAAACGAACATTTTTCTGTGCGAAATTACAGACACACTACACTACACTTTTGCATTTTGGGCAATTTTTTTTTAAGAGTGGAGGTTCCCTTTAAGCCCCACTACTTTTTATCAACCTAGTCCTTTGATGGAGTCAAAGCCAACTACACTAAGTCTGCCTAATACACCGCTGAGCTGAGTATAGCGATCTTTTGTAAAGCCGTGGGGTCTGTTTGTTTCACTTTTTTAATGTAATCTTCTAAGAGAAAATTATTCTTTTCTAGTCTCGGATATGTAAAGCGCAACTCTTTTTTCCCTCTTTCTTCATTGCTTCCAGTTTACTAGCGTAACAAACTTGCGTGGAAACGCTTCCTACGAAGGCTATTTCTTACCATAAAGGACACCTAGCGGCATTGCTTTAGGAAAACAATTTGTTGTCTTATATAAACTTTTGAGGTGGAATTACGATTCGTCTGTTGCTCAATACTTACCCTTTCTCTCCAATGCCCCTCCCTTTTTCCCTTCCTCCCTATCGCCTACCCCTTTCAGCAGGACTTTCTTGCTGGTTTTCACATTTCGTCATCAATCAAACCAAAGAGCATCGAGCCTACTGACTTTTTACTTTGGGGGAGTATTAGAGCAGCCAAAAACAAATGTTTCTACGCATTTTCACTTCGAAAGGGTCTTTTTTTGTGCGTGATAGAGTACGCTTGAATTTCTAAGCTTTTGCGTGCTAAAGCATTTACTCGGCGGCCGAGAGAGCTGTCACGTACGATATAAAAGTGACTTATTTGGGAGACATTTTCTATCTGAAACGTTATTGTATTACAAAAAGTACTACTTTAATGTCGGTGTAATGTTTTTGATCGAGTTCCTCAAGAGATGAATCCACGCTTTCTTAACAATCTCAGTAACAGATGTTTCTGTGGGTTCCGGCCGGCATGTTGGCATGTTGTTGCCCATAGTGCGGACTGTGCCCATCCGGATGGGTGCCAACATGGTGCGGGCTCCATACAAAGCTCTAGTATAATATGGGCAAATCATTTCTCCAAATATCTCGCATATTAAAAACTGCACTTACCTGAAACTCGACGAGGGCCTCTGTATAATTACCTCTTTTTCTTTCCCAGATTCTAGAATTTATCTATCGAACAGTTTTCGCATTTTAATTTTTTTATGTCGTGACGAAACCAGAATCAACGACGACGGTGACGGAAACGAGAACGGCCAAAAAACAATAATAGGTTTAGATTTATAGCAAAACAACAACTTTGCTCCTGCATCATATGCTTTTGTGTTCATTTCTTTGCCGTGGTTGCACGACGATGACGAACACAAACACAAGACAACGATTTTCTTTTTCTTTTTTGTGAAATGAGATCGGGGGGGTACTTTACGAATTTCTGGGTGGGGATGTGCTGCTGGGACCCTGGAACCCTTAACCTATACCAGAGCTAGTTCAGCCAAATTTTGCTACCCTATACTAAAGTAAACTCCTCAAGTCCCCCCTATCCTTGAGTAGCTGTTTCCCTAGTCTAGATAAAATCTTCAGCCAACTGATCAGTTTCCTGAAAAATGATACTCTATTCTAGACCCAAATGTTCTGATGTATATACCCTATCCTAGAGTAAACTGCTTGAAAACCATACTCTTCACAGCGGCACATACCTATATAGCCCATATATGGCAGTACCCCCCCCCCCGGACTTAGATGCATTCCTTAAGAGATCAACTCCTGAAGAAATCGTCAACATTTGACAAAAAAGAGTTGGAATAAGAGCGATGAAGTTTGAAACAGCGCGAATTCCTTTTTTAAGAGACATTTTTGTAGCCGTCCGACGTCGTAGTTGCTTTTTAAGCCCCCTAATGAGGAAACTAACTCACGGCCCCTATGCTATGGTGTCCACAATAACGGACTAGACTATGCACATGGGTCATATCTGCGCAACGGTCTCGATAGTTTGGTTAAACAAAGGGGGTTTTACTTAGTTATGTAGACAAAATACCGAATGTTGAGGGAAAAGATGATTACGTGACTGCCCACGAGATGATTCTACCTACCCTTATTTGGTGTGAGTACCAGTGTAGCCTGTTCCAGGCTCCGAGATAGTCGGGTTCGCGAAATTGAGACTGAAACGTGAACATAAAGACAAAACGGTAGAAAACAGGGGAGAGGAAGGGCTTCCCTAATTTTTCCCGCCGCCGCCCTTCGCCGCCCCCTTTTACGCGTGCCTTGCACCATCCTATCTAAGAGCCTGGAACAGTCTAGCTAGTACCAGTGATACCGCGCTGTTATCGCAGTTCATTTATCGCCAGAAACTGAAGGAATTCAGGATTTCTGAAAGACACTTGGATTAGCACAGATTAGCCTAACCTGGGCAGATGAATCGTTTAGCGATAAAGTGAAATTTGTGGTAAATCTAGTGTCCTGATCTCATTTTCTTCAGAACAAATGGTTACACATAGATCTTGTGTGGGCTTCACAATCTATGGCACTTGTCAGGTTGTTCTTGCTGTAAAACTCCCTGTCTATCAGTTCTTCAAACCAGCTATTCGAATTTACACATACACGACTTCAAAGAACTAAGGCTTTCAAAAATGGCAAACCGCGCCGTGTTGTTTTAAATAGCAGCTCTGTTTCACAAAACTATTTTCGAGATTCTTTTGTGGTTCACCACAAAAAGGCATTAGTGGTAATTAGTGATAAGTTCGAAGAAACCATAAAAAGTTTTCCACAGATATTCCAACGATCGAGAGACAAAGGGCTTTTTTCAGTTTCCACTGTATCCTCTAGCTAATACAGAAAAGATAATAAAATGAGCTCCCACCGAAGCAAAGTAAGAAACAGAAGAAACAAGCTGAATAGAATTTTTAGGAGTTTCAAAGCCAGCTCGCACAGTTCCCAAATAAAACAGATGAAAATGATGCTGGCTTATCTTCAGGGTATTCAGTTGCTGTCGTAGCTGTTTCCTCCATTTCGCTGTTCCGGTGCTTCATTTTTCCTTCTTTTGTCCTATGCTTAAGCAAGAACGCCGAAGCAAACGTACACTGCGAAACACTCCGTATTTTTGCGTATTCAAGTATGCGCGAACATTCAAACAAAGGGTGCTCGAGCGTGAGACTCTAACGCTATTCTTACGCGACGTTAAACCGATTTTAAGAAAAAACCCCACTGTTTTGCAGTCTAAAGCAAACGGGAAATATAATATTTATTTCTGAACTTCATGCTACAGAAAAAATAGAAACCACGCGCATTTTTCATTTGACAGCACTATGACCGCAAAAAATATCCAAATTGCCTATTGGCTACATGATGTGAGTTGCTGGGCCTACCAGCTTTAGTTCAAGAAAACATCAGCTTTCATGTTCATGGGCTTGTTTCCAACTTTATTATTAAAAGGGTACGTGAGAAAAAAATAAGTGGCAAATTTCTATCCATCTAAAATTTCTGTTCAAATACTAATAAGCTAAATCAACTGCCTTCAGATTCAAAAGCGAAAAATTCTGTTACAAATATAAATTTGGGTACTGAATTCGTGACTTATTATCCATCGTTCCGGACACCAAAATAGCCTCTGAAATGTTCTAAATTTATTGTGCAATTTTTCCCACTGTACATTACAAACTCTCGCTCATTATGGAATCATGACCTATTTTGACGTGAAATGACAGAAAATGTGCTTGGGCTAGAAATTGATATGAGGCCCAAACTTTTTCAGCTCAAAAAACTCAGCTGTAAGCTGTAAGCT